CCGAGTAGCCAATAACGAGCCAGTACACGTGAGTAGAAGATAATATGTTGTATAAGAGAACCGCGAAAAAGTTTCGACTGCTCCGATGACTGCGAAAAAGGAAGGAGGACTTTCGGCAAATATTTTTCAAGGAAAACAAAAAAGGCGAAGAATACGCGGCAGAGAGAAAGGGGGGGGGAGTGGAAAAATAAAAGACGAAGGAGTTACAGCAGCACGGAAGCTGCAGGAGGAGACGGTGTACTGAAACCGGCAATCGATAAGACCGCGCAACTAACTTTTCCATGCAGAAAACGCTTCACCCTACGACGCCCCCCCCCCCTTTGTTTTATTTTTTTTCCCTTTCCGCAAGCCTTGCGGCCTTTTTAACGCGTCTTCCCTGTCTCCCCTGGTTTTTTTCCTCCCCTAACCCTTTATTGTTTTTTTTTTTCAGTTGCACAAAGTCGCGTTTTACCCCTTTTTTTTGTTTACTACCCGTGCAATCATGCAAGTTGCCTGCTGTACCGTGCGCTTAAACGCTTTATCGCCGATGTATCGCCGACCCGCGCTCCGCTCTTCTTTTACAACCTTGTGTGTGTGTGTGGGATTTTTTTTACCTTCATTTTCCTGCGGTTTTTTTCCATCCCCAAGATAAGAGTGAACGACTACTGTGATGCCCTACCCTGTGAGAGGTGATTAAAAAGGTACATAATGTGGTACGGGGAATTTTCGAAAAAGGCACATTCAGTTCCTCGAAAGGTAACCCAGTCGTTGGGGTTATTAATAGAGTTATTGTCTTCCTTTCGCTATAGGCATATATGTTAGATAGACGGCGCGTGCTCATTGCAACTTGGTCGAGCATACAAAAGGCCCGTGTATGAAGGCAAACGAAGGGAGGGGACCGTAAGTCAGTAACGACTTTCACGATCTGCCGAGAGTGTAATAGCTGCGGGTACGAGTATATAATGTATACGTACCACTGCACGGGTAAGTAAGAAGTGAAACGTATTTACGATTTCGAGGCCGAAGTAACTGGCTGGTCACGACAAAATTTTCAAAGCAGCTTCTCGGTATGGCCGGCAACTTCCATTGTGCCGATTTGCGAATAGTACTAAACTAATAATTCGCGTGGATACGGAAGAGGATGGAGAAAAGGGACGAAAAATGTAACTCGGAAAGGATCAAAGTCTCCCGCGGGACATTTTATTCGAGGACTCGGTTGTGGGGGGGGGGGGGCAAAATCGAGCCGTGTACGGGAAACTAGAAGATGAGCACGAAGCCAAGGGAGAGAACGGAAGGGAACAATTTACACACCCTTCCGTCCTCTATGTGCCTTGTTTGGGAGTCGATCCTCGGAGACTGGACGACTGAAAAGTTTCAAGGTGGCAAAAACTCGATAACCCGCTCGAAATAACTTTGCCGACATGCAAATGCGACGCCTTTTTTTTCGATCTCTTTGGTGTCGTAATGTAATTTGGAGGAAAAAAATATCGTTTAGGGTAAGACTCTCGCATCAATTTCCGCGATACAAGGGAGAGATGAGCCCTTGTGCACGAACGTACACGGAGCGCGTAAAACGGAAGCCGTCCCCCCCGCATCAGAGGAAGAGGGGGGGAAAAAAAAGAAGCAAGAGAGTGTGCGCCACGCGTGTCCCATTTCTCCGTTGCTGGTGTACATACCTAGTACTTGTATAGTATAAAGAAGAGGAGGAGGAGGGATACAGCCTGTATGTGTACTCCATAACTCCATACGTCTCGGTGATGGTGCGTGGCAGCGACGCCTCGACGCCAGTACGAAATGGCGCGAGGAGGAAAACAGTATTAGATGCGTGTGCAGTGAATCGTTCCCCCCTCTTCTTCTCGGCTGAACTCTATATACGTTTATCTACACGTGTATGAATGTCGGTATATATACCCTATACTGGTGCTATTCATAGAAGTGCGGAGGCATGCGGAAAACGCGCCGAGCTGTTTATTGGTCTCTTGCTATACTGGCGCGCGCTTCGAAGGAGCGGAGGAAATGAGAGAGAGAGAGAGAGAAAGAGGAAAAATAAGGGAAGAATAAGAAGACAAGGATGCGATGACTGGCGCGAAAGTTTTGGAAGGGCGTGTAACACGTATACAACACTCCACGTATACATATATTATATGCATATAGGTGTGGATAGTTGCAACGTAAGCGAGAGAATCATATCGCTAGCCCTATGGGTGATTGTGCGATGCTACTCAGGGAGATGATGTATATATACGTGTGGACGTGTGGCTAAACGGGGCGGAGGGATACAGAGGATGAGTAGGCATGTATATGAGGAAGTTTTGGAGAATGCCGGATTGCTGTTTGCGAGCTGTACGTGTGGAGCGTAAGTACGTGTATAATATATGTACACGCCCATAGGGACGCCTGTCTATCTGTATCCAGGATGGGTTAAGGTTTGGTTTTTCAAAGTTTTAGACTAGCGTGTGTGAACATTACAAACGTGCGTCCGAGAGTTTGCGTGAGATCACGAGAAAATAAACGGATGAGCCCTGTCTATGTCAATTGCGATACGCGTCCTTTCGATGCATTACTTTTATCGTTGAATATACATATACTCTTTGTTTCAAGGAAATTCGAGGTAAGCACAATTGTACAGGGACAAAAATCTTTTTCTTTTTTTACAATCTGTAGTAAAATGGTGGATACAAGACCTAATGGTTTTCGTGACAAAGACACATTTTCCCCGAGTTTCGTTCGATATTCAATACCTGCAGCGATGACTATGGCGCTGACTCAGCCTTAAGTGCGCCAATAAAAGTTAAACCTCCGGACGTTCGTGGTGGTCACGACACGCCATAACAGCTCCTCGCGATAACCCAAATTAAATATTTACCTGCGCTGACGTGACAACTTGTCATCGATAAATAATCCACTCCATCTTGGAGAAAGAAATTAAGATCACTAATAAATTTCAACTTCAAAGGTTGAAACACGAGGTTCCTATACACCTGCATCGTATGGGCAAAGGCTTGTGCATCATTACTATGTGTACGTATATATGAAACGAAAACGAGGTGCAACGAGAGTGCAAACAAAAGCCCCGTTCAAAGGGAGAACGAGGAAAAAGCGCGCGAAAGGGGTGAACAAAAAAAAACAACTCCATTCGCAGAGCGAGCTCGGGGAAAAAGCAAAATCCCACTTTTCCACGTGGGCATGGGGCGTCATTTCAAAAACTACCGAAGAATAGAAGGCGGGGAAGGAAAAAAAAAAAAAAAAAAAAAAACAGGATCCCTTTGCTCTTTAGGGTGAAAAAAAAAGACGCGCACAACGATGGGGTAATTATACGGGCACCGCTGCGTAGGTGCACGCTCTCTTCCTCCTCGAAGCGAAACGAGACTTACGCGTGTAGCACACACAGCGATAATGAAAAAAGGGGGGGGGTGGGGGTGTGTTTGAAGTTGAAACAAGAAGATTGCCGGCAAACTCGCGTTCCAAAAGCCTTGGGAGAGAGAGAGAGAGAGCTTTCCACGACCCCTGATCCGGATTAATATCCGCGCGGCGTCTCATTTTTTTTTTCAACCCCAACGCGTGTCACGAAGTGCTCGAGAGTGGTTACCAACTCGCGGATGAGCTGTTTTTCCTCATTAAAAAAATCTCCATGTGTACGTATATAAACGTTAGCAGAGCTTTCAATCATGAGCGAGGGTGTTTGCGCCGATTGCGCTTGGATGTTTTGGTTCGAGTTGCAAGGAAGGAGAGCTTAAACATTTTGCGGGTGTCGGGTTATTTTTAACCGCGCGGTAACCAAAACGAAGATACCCGAAACCGAGAGAGAGAGAGAACAGATGAGGGGGTGGACAATCACCCCTTTCATGAAGCACCCGCTCCTCGTCCGCAGCCGATTTGATTTCTCGAGGGAAAGAGCAGGTCCGCGCGTCGCTCGAGGCGCAATTGAGAAAAATCATCATCCTCCGCGTGACGACTGCAGAGAGAGAGAGAGAGAGAGAGCCAAATGGAAATGGTCGACTGCTCTCTCGTTACATCGCGCGTCGAGTCCCCGCGAGCGATGCTCTCTCTCTGTGTAACAATACCTCCTCGTCTGCTGCACCCTCGCCCCCTTTTTTTCTTATCATTTTTCTGTTTTTGCTCGCGCCAAACTACAGCGGAAATATTTGAGACTTTAACTTTCAAAGTGCACACGCAATGGTTCAACGATAATGGACACCCCAACACTCGCCAAGACAATCGTGTCGAGCGAATTACTGGCTTAATCAAGAGATCGAAAAAGGAGAGGAGGGACGAATCGAGACAAAATATTGCTCTTCTTGTACAAAAAGACTGCACCCCCACCATTGTAAGGTATTTTGTTTCCGCGAGCTAAAATGAATCATGATCTTTGTTGAATTTTTCGCGGTCTGCCGAGGAACACTGTGTACGTATAATGAGGTTACAACCCAGAGTCATTTAGCACGCGATTAACGGTTTGGTTTTTTTTTTCTCCTTTCGGCTCGTCCTCGGGACGGAGGGGATCAACGCCACGGGCTCCCCACTCGATTGGGATTGACGGGCGAGTACAGCGAGAGGACGCTCTATGGTAATTAAAGGTCGGCTCCGAGTGTTTTGCGAGAGTTTAGCTAAATTAATCACGGTAATTGCGTACTTTGCATTGTTGGCTCGACTCCCTCCTCACTCGCCTCACCCACTCGTGCTTTTTTTTTCCTGGTACATAAAATTAAATATCTTGGATTTATAGCCACCAAAATATAATCATACAAAACAACTGTTGCTCGTTTCAATCATCGCACCAGTCAATGACACGGTAGAAAAAAAAAAAAAAAAAAAAAAAAGCTCAGCTACGATATCTGGCTTTTGTATACGTGAGGTAAACACGCGTGTACACTGCAGTTAATCGATCAAGCTCGTCACTCCACGCTCCTCCTATAAATACTCGTATATATCGTACATTTATAAGGTACACCATATTATATCACGTACTGTATAGATAAATGAATTTTATTGTCGCTTTGTTCGCGAAACATTATACTTACGCAGACAGCCTGCGATTTTGGTGCCTTTCACGTTCTGAAACAGAGATAACAAAAAATTTTTCATTAGATCACACACATGCCTCTATTTTACATGATAATTACGTTTAATGAGAATAATCAATTTATTGTCATGATCGAGTGATACGAGGTAAAAAGTCTCTCCCTATTTGTCATGAAAATGCTAACAAAACAAAAATATCAAACGTCACAGCTACATTATGTAAAGAAAGGGGATACAGCATGTATGTATATACAAGGTAGTGTCGAAAACGGCCAATCAAAGCCGTAATAGCCGAGGGTGGGGGAGTTTTCGCGTCGCAGCGTATAGCGTCTACAACGTGGTAATCGATACGGGCGGCCGCCGGACGGACGGACAGGCGTAAAGAGCCACGGCTAAAACGAGAGTCCTTTCTGTACATACACGAGGGAGACAGACACACTCTCGCATAAACTCTGTATACACGTACATGTGTAGACCTTGTAATTAAGGCGGACGATCGATCCCAGAGAGAGAGAGAGAGAGAGAGAGAGAGAGAGAGAGAGGAGAGGTGGGGAGGGCGAAGGAAGGTCTTTAATCATTAGCCGGTTCTCTCTCTCTCTCTCCCTCTCTTGTAATTGAATAAGTGCGAGTGGATATATTCTCTTTGGGAAAGCGCGTGCTGGGCACCTACACATGCACGCCTAAATGTTTTTCAGCTTCGTTGTAGTGGCGATGGTATACGGTTTTTGTTGTTATTCCGATCGGCGTCCTCGAGATAATCGTCATTATTATTGTCAGAGGTGTGTGTATGGGGCTCGGATGCTCGCGTGTCTGGCCGACATCACTGCTGCGATCTATTTTGATACATAGCAGAGGAGGAGGGGGGAGGAGGATTGCAGGTCCGACTGCTCGTGTTATTTCTACGCTCGTGTGTGTGTTTGGTTTGGAAGGGATTGCTTTGATACGATGCTCGCGTGGATAGTGTCGGCAAGGAATTTTCAATCCGTGACGGGTCATTTTTTGTTTGGGGGAGGAGTGAGATAAATTTATTTAATCGACACTTGCGGGTAACAGGTTTTCTCGGAATGAACATCCCCCCCCCCCCAAATGAATTTTTGATGAGCGTCAAGCGAAATGTATGTACAACAGATTGCGCGTGCGAGTTTTTTCATTATTCAAACTCGCGTGGTTTAATTTTCACGGGGGACACGGCAAAAGTTGTCCACCAGACGCGGAAACGAAAATTACCAACTTGTCTCCCCCGTGTCGCACTCGAAAATCGTTTTCGCTGCATAATTCATATTCTCAGGAAATACTTTGTGCCGTACTCGGTATTGGTGTGCTATACACGCATATCTAGATGTCTTCGGCTGGCTGGTGAGAATATAATAATATATAGGGTACCTATGTGTGAGTAGTCGCGGATATAGGCTGGAGTATTGCACGTACAACAGAAGCCGAAACGGAGAAGAAGCTGCAGTTAAGTAATTATAGAACTTGCACAAGCGGAATGAGCTGATGTTCCTTCCCTTTATTTATGTTCTTTTACTTTATTTTCGTTTTCCATCCTTTTTATTCTGTAAGTATACAAAATACAAGAATATATATGTTGCGCGAAGCCGACAGTTGTTACATCAGGTATTACAGAGGATTCACATAACTAACCAAATCGTGCCGATAGATACCTATATGTACGTGCTATAGAGCTATATTGTGTGCCGTGCGTTGCGCAACAACTGTACGTAGTAAGTGTACATTGCAGGCATATACATCCAAAGAGAGCGGCTGACGTCTAATGCTGGTACTCTGATTTTTTTTTCTTTTTGCCTTTTTTTTTTTTCTTCTTTATTCCTGCGCGTGCACGGAATACCCAAACACAGTTGTGTGTAAGAGCGCGTGTGTGTGTTTTAGAGCATAGTAAAGCGGTAGCATAAATAGGTACATACTCGTTTGAAATTGATTAATAACGCGCTTCGTTGCGCGATTCTCTCGGGAGTCTCTCGAGCGAATTAACATGTGGATTCACCTCGACGACTCTGCTTTTTTATGCCCCCCCCTCCCTCCCCTATAGTACTACAGTGTGTACTTTCAGTTGATCTGATTCATCACTTAACAATATACCTACACAATACCTTTTTCCGTTCTCAACTGCAACAATGTCATATTTTTATTTTATTTATTTTTTTTTTTTTCATCGCACAAATAAAAAAATCTCGTACTGATAGAAAACTCGATCCTCCTCCATAGAGTCACCGTATCATCTGACACGGGTGCTCGTGTCCGTGTTAAATTTTGCGAAAAGCTTGTCCACCCATATACACATTATGTACCTGTATGTATATAAGCGCCGAAGAGCAAAGGGAGCGAATTGAATATGCAAATTGCCGTGGCAGATCACGACAGCGCGGCAACGAGACAGTGCGAAACTCATCGCGGAGTCACGCTACGTACAACGTGTATATATATATATATATATATATATACACGTGTCGTTGTTGTAAGTAACTGCAATAATATATATACAGACTTACTTACACGACGCGTGTGGATACAAGAGCTCTTTCTTTTCTTTCGCGCGGCGTGAAATCGATAACTTGTTAAAATCGCTTTGGCTCTTGTGTTTTTTTTTTTTTTTTTTTTCTTCCCTTCTTTACCATTTTTTCTTTTTCCCCTTTTAACGACGTGAAACTCATGCGGTAATTATGTGTACTACGAATGCGTTTGTCAATTTTTTCTTTTCTTTTTTTTTCGAAAACATTACACCACACGCACAAAAACAAGGAATACAAGGACGCTATAGTTACCGCAAAAAGAGAACTTATGTAGCGAAAAAACGTGACTTTTCTAATGAAAGCGACACCGGAAAACAGGGAGGAATAAGTTAAAATTCAAGCGCACGCAGTTCTGTTAATCCACGTAGCTGTGCAAGGCTCGCTGTCAATTTGCGTATACATGGGTGTACGAGTGTTTGCCGGGGATGGACCCACAGGAGCAAAGATTCAAGATCAAAACGCGAGTACTGCGTACATGTGCACTGCAGAAACGAGAGGGGGATGGGTGGAGGCGAAATAAGTAAGGACGGTGTCGTGCTGACGTGCGGAGTGTGTCCATATGGTGGGCTCGTATAATATACGAGAGCCGGCTGTCCGTGGAAAGATTGAGATGTTGCGCGTGTGTGGGTTGGTGTTGACTGATTATCGGGGGAGCTGGCCTGCTTCGGGGCGTCTGCCGATGGTTTTTTTCTTTCTTTTTCTCTTCCCTCGGTGTAACAGAGTAGCCGAGCGCTATTACATATTATCTGTGGGTTTTTCTTCTTCTTCGTATCGCCGAGAATTCATGCCTCATGGATAATTAATTTTCACCAGAATAATATTCAAGTTGTACAATACTATAATGACCAGAGCGACGATTTCTACGTGTTTTCGATAATATACGGTAAGTAACAAAAAAACACAACTACACATATATGTGCGTAATACATCAACACGAAGCCGCGATGTATGAAGTATAATATATCATGCAGTGCAAAGTCGAGCGGTCTTAGAGCGATAATGTGACACACCGTAGGGGTGCATGGACGTCTGTAGGTACACGCACCATATTTTTATCCACATCAGCAGCAGAGAGCCAAATTTACGAACATAAAGAGAGCGCCCCGTTATAAAAGGGAGGAAGGCAGGCCAACACACTCACACACACGTAAGGTAACGTAAGTACGTATACCCCAAGGGGGACTCCCATAGATTTGGATTTGAAAGCGCACTCGCGATGGAAAAGGGGGAGAGCGGTGTAACCTCTTGCGTAAACAATGGGGAGCCTGCACTTCGCCTATGATTTTTTAGTGCGCAATGGCAGCTTATGTATACAGGACGTTGTGTAGTGCAAGTGAGAGAGAGAGAGAGAGAGAGAGAGAGAGAGAAGCGGTGTTGCCATTGTACACACAATATATAATACGTATAATGAGCGAATGAGCGAACGGTGTGCAGAAGGTCATGTGTACAGCGCTGCAGTGTGGAGAGTAATGAACACAGTAATATCGGTGTACTTACATACATAGACGTACGGGTGTACAGTGAAGTAGGAGGAGAGAAAGCCGCGTAAGCGAGGCAGAGAGAGAGAGAAATAGGAAAGTGGAAAGGAGAGGCGAGGGCGGGCGCAGGCGAGTTATAAAGTAACTTTTCCACTCCGGGAATTTATTGCCTGGCGAAAAATTGTGAATTTGCCGGCAGACGGAAGTTTTGCTTTATTTATCCCTCCCTCTCTCTGACTTTTGCGTTAATTGTTTCTCTTTCCCTTGCGAGGAAGAGATGAGCGAACAAAAAAAAAGTACAATACAAAATAAAAGACTCTGTCTGTAAAACGCAGCAAAGCCCTCTTTTTTTCGCATCAACGGAGTTTCAATTGGCTTGGTTATAACGTATCGATGTATACGTTTGTATTAGGGAGCGCTAACGCGACTAGCGAACTATTAAAAGCAGGAAATTTACTTTGCTCGCTGTACAGGCTCTCCTGGGTGCTGCAGCTCGTCAGAGTCGAAACTTAAATTGCTCGAGAAATTCGTCGTCGTCGTCAACGTCAAAAAAAAAGCGCATCACAGGTATGGATTCAAACGAAGTTTGCCTTTCGAAAATTTATACGCAGGAAAGACGTGTATTGCGTCCGCGTGTTCTGCAAAGAGAGAGAGAGAGAGAGAGAGCACAGTAGCAGAGTTCCGCAGGTGGAGGCGTGTTATCTCGACAGTAGCAGCAGAAAGTGTGCAGACGGGCGTACACATATAGGCGTGTGTGACCCCATTTGGCGTCAAATGCAGTTGTGAAGTCGAGAGTGTAAGTATACGTATTTCACGCGGAAGATAGAAGGCGATTTGTTACGGTCCGATAGCTGCTGTGCTAATGTGTGGTGATTGCTTTCGTGATGACTGTTTTTTTTTTTTTTCTTTTTTACTTGGCATGCACTTAGAAAAATAAAAATGAATATCGTGAGTGGTTCGGGTATCCGGCGAACCTGTTGTAGTATGCATCTGTACATGCGTTCATGTTTATACGTACAGTCGT